GAAAACAGTCCGGGCTTTTCTCAGTTATGACGTATGAATGATTTTTACTTTCTAAACATTTCTATTAAATTACACACTTTAGTAGTATTTGATATGATAACTGTTTGAAAAGCATAATTTCTTTTTGTTTTCTTAACCCATTATTTGATGAGCTTTTTACTTCATGAAATCATTTAGTCGTCAGGTTGAAATCTATCTGAAATCATGCCAGTTAGCCTATATTTTCAATTATATGGTGAGTATTGTCATTTCCTATTGTTTTTTGCTTTATATGAAGGTGAATGGTGCCCCTGCCACTCAGTCCCAGTGCACTGAGGCTGGGGATATCTGCCCTATCTGTCAGTCGGACTTCAAACAACCTCGAGTCCTGCTGTGTCAGGTGAGCTTAAACCTTCCTAACCTTCTCACCTCCAGAAAGCAAGTACAAGCCTTAGTTGATTAGCTGTCTTACTACCTAGATGTTGATACTTCGTAACTCCCAACTGATGATGGAGCTCAAGCCTCTTGCTCAAGCTGCTGCCCTCTAAACATGTTATAGCAAGTCAGAAATTTTACCGTTTTCATGAAATCCATTATGTATTTCAGTAAATGTGTTTCTGCTTTCTTTTATTTCCATGTATTTGCCTTAACCCCATCCAGTGCACCCAATTGACCTTCTGTTTGTTTGTGATGTAAACATATAATTGTAAAAACTGTGTAAATTAACTTTGATCAGTTCCAATAACTGTGATCGAATTATTCTGTAATAATTGTGACGGGCCCTTTTGGACCACTGTTGGGATGAAATAATGTCTTCTCTGCACTAGGTTAGGTATTGAGTGCATAGTAAAATGCATTAATTGGTGCAATGGCTCACTTATTGCTGTACTACCTAATGCATGGACACACGTTTCATGAAGCTCCCATATTAATATAGTGGCATTTATATTTAATTTTAGTTTCAACAGTTTGAACCAAATATATAGATACTCATACCCATTCATTTACAAGTTCATTGTTAAGGGAAATTAATTCTTGTTGTGTGTGTTTTTTGTTTTTTGGGGTTTTTATTTTGACAGCACATATTCTGTGAGGAGTGCATTGCACTGTGGTTCAACCAGGAAAAGACCTGCCCTCTGTGCCGTACCGTCATTACAGATAAGGTACACAAATGGAAAGATGGGGCGACCTCACTTTACCTGCAAATCTACTGAGAATAATCACATCTCACCCACATGTCTACTGAATGACAGAGATGACTCCTTACTTTCTTACTGAAACAGAGTGGGAAGTAAAAGAAAAGTTGCAGTATCTTGTCAAAACAACTGTGTACTCTAAGGATGGACTTTAACCATTTTCTGCCTTGCTGAAGTGCACATTCTTTTGACTGAGCAGCAGCTGGTTCAATGGTAATACGTAGTGTGTTTTGAAAACCATGTCTGATGCTTTGTTGATAAAAGAACTGCGATTTTAAACCTGGTTAAAGGCAAAGGCATTTGTGTTTGCAGTTCAGAATATTACTGGACCTAGAAGTTCCTTTCTGTATTTTTTTTTTTAACTTTATATGTGCCGTTTCTTTACATGACAACAGATTTCAGTCATTTTGACTTCTTATCATACTTGTATAGCTTAGCCTAGAGCATAAAGGGTTCTGTCCTTAGGGAGAGACAACTTTTTTATTTATTTTTGAAGAGATATTTTGCATCAAAATGGTAGAATATCACTCAACCAAACTGTGTTTCATTCATCTTTATTTTATATATTTGGAGGTTACCACTGAATCTGCCTTCATGGTATATCCATCTGGTATTACAAACATCAAAAATGGTCCTTGCCAGGAGGCAGGAACCTTTATGTAGTGAGTTACATAGTTATGGATGGTTGCCATATTGAGCTTTGAAGAAGCTAATTTTATTCATTTGATTTGATGTATCTGCAGTTCAGAATATATAAAAAATATTCAGGTGTACAGATTCATAATGTCCTTTTCTGAATCTTGTCCACCTACAGCTTTGTAATAAACCAAAGAATTTTTGAAGATCTATTTTCCTAAAGTTCCTCGTAGTGGAACATACACCACACCAAATGTTTTTTTTTTTTTAATACTTGGACAAACATATTTCATATTAATATTTTGATATAAATTGAACATTTTTTTGAAATGTTATTACACTATTATACATTAAAAGACGAAAGGAAACATTTCTTTCCTTTTTAAAGTGCAATCTCTTTTTAAAATCAGTATTTAAAGCACTAATGACTTAGCACACCTTACTGCCATTCTCCTACTCTGTGCTCAATTATAATCAAAATAAAGTGAGACCTTTGAATTGTTTTCATTTTTTATTCATTAAATGCTGGTGGCAGAAAACACCAATTAACATGCTGACGACTGACAGAAGAGCATTAGTAGGGATATGAATCCTTTCTTAATCAGTGCTGTTAGATAGTAAAATATGCTTTGAGTTTGTTCTTGTGCAGCGGTGGGAATGCAATGTAAAGTCAAAAGTAGAAGGTATGCAGCAACTCAAGGCCTCTCAAATCAGTCTATGGACTTTTCGAATGACAATTCATTGCCACTAAAGGTGGTACAAATGCACAACAGTTTGTAGTAATTGGTGGCACAGCAATCTGCTGTATTGTAGCAAGACAATTAGGATGATGACCTCAGTAGTCCTCATCGCTGTGCATAGTGCATTATCGATTTGCTGTCGATAACCAGGCAAAAGAATTTACTGCACAGGCTGCCCAACAGTAACTTTTGTGAACAATGTCATCATAGTCACAAGTGAAATTAACGTTTTATGAAATTATTTACATTCAACTATTTCTGAAGAAATTGAGTTCATGTAAACATAGAACAAATACATAGTTCATTGCAGCAGTAATACCGAGAGGAAAAAACACACATTAAAAGATGCTTCACATAAATGAACTGCCAGACGACTCTGTACCTCAAGTCTGTATTTCCTTCGGCCATTTCTTTGCAAAATTGCCAAGTTCAATATTTACACTTGTAATTTAATGATGTCAAATATTCAAGACGTGATAGTCCAACCATGTTTCCTCTGGCAAAATTGACCAGCTCAAACTAACTTGCTTTATTATATATGTTCTTCATTGTTGTGTGAAATTAATCATGCAATGACCACACCTACCATCAGGTTACTAAACATAATCAGACCCAGATAAGCAGTAGTCATAATAACTGAGATTTTAGTAAATAATATATCAAAATAAATGTATATTTAAATAAATAAATAAAAAGTCCTGTAAATGTAACCTCGTAAATCAAAAATGAAGAAAATTCCTCAAAACAGTAGCTAATAACACATCAACCAGAATTTGAAAAGTATTGTTTGTATTTTGTTTGTATTGCAAATATGGAACATTACAGATCATCAATTGGACACAAAGAACAGAACTAGCAAATAAATAGCAATAAAAAAAATGTCTTACCCATAGTTAGAAACTTCGTAGTAACCTGTACTTCTCTTGGGTGAGGAAAATGCCTAAGGTTAAAAAAAAAAAAATCCTCCAAGGTTTCCTTTCATTCCAGCTTTTCACCCAAAGAACACAAGAGGAAGAATGAGTGCAAAAACTTTTCACATGTATGTAAAAAGCCACAAAGCTATAGATAAAGTACACATGCAGAAAGCATCCATCAATTTTGAGAGGTGACAAATAAAACACTTAATCGATCATAGTTATGACGCTAATTTTCAAGTATGCCCATGTTCAACAGTTGCCTGAATGATTGAAGAAGTATAGCATAATAAAGCATTTGGAAAACAAGTTTTCAGAGTTAATTTTTCTATTTTATGATTGTTAAGCCTTATGCTATTGTATTAACACTTACTTAACTCAAACTTTTATGATTTTAAAAGTTGTTTCATGACCTGACCCAAAAAAAATTACAATTAAATTCTTAAGAGTGGAAAACTGATCAAGAGAGTTGTTAGAAAAATGACTGATGAAAGTAATAAGTTGCATTTGTATTTGTTTGTTAGTCACCTAGCTGAATTATCAATTCTTGCATAGTCTAGTGAAGTGAATAAAGCAGCAAAACACACTTGACAAAATAAATATATGTAAGAGAAAAATCCTGAAAAGTATTTGCTGTAACAGACCTTAAGGAGCATTTAATGCATTAAAACAAACACGAGAACATAGAGTCTCTTAACATCTCCAGTTGTAACCCTTATGTGGAAGACACTGTAAAAACAATTCTGATTTTTGTTTTCAAATTAGTAATTAGGGGAAAAGGTCAATGATTATCCTTAGATTCCTCAAGACACTGTCTATAGTTATTGTCAGAATGATCTTTCAAACACATTCTGAATATGTCCCCCACTTACCTCATACAGGTGCTGAAACTGACTTATTAAAGGCCAAAAAATGTGATCTACTCTGTTTCAAATAATCGAAGTTTAAAATTCCTGTCCAAAGTTTCATTGCTGTTTCATTCTTGTGAGTTAATCTAGACATTTGAGTGAAAAAACAACATCTGCAATAACATCAACTTTTAGCTTCCAAAGCACAGGCCGCCAGAATTTTAGATGCATGCCAGCACTTGATCCAACTAAAAACTGCACTGAAGCTTGAGCTGGTTGAACAAGCAAAAATACAGCTACATGGCACAAGCTGCCTTTTTAACACTTTGCATTAAAAGATTCATATCCAGAGTCACCCTGGGCAGGCTGCCATCCACACCAGAAGTTTATAGGCAAAGTGGCACAGGTAGCAAAGAATGCGGTTCATTGGCTTAGCTCTGTTTGATTGGTCTTAAGCGAACCAGTGGCCTAGAGGGCAATGGGGAAAGGTTGGGAGCTTGATGGTGGGACTGAAAGACTGATATTTCGGGATGTTTTTTTTTTTTTTTTTTAATTTCCAGTGTGATAAAGGGACCAAAGGCCTGTGTGAAGCTATATATATATATATATATAAAGGGACCAAAGGCCTGTGTGGTAACATATATATATAGCTCCACACAGGCCTTTGGTCCCTTTATCACACTGGAATTCGCAGGTGCTCTGGCCGTTTTTTATCACACTTTATTCGCCATTGGCCATTTGGAGGGCACTGGGTGGGCCTTTTTTTAATGATTCTATGGCTGAGCATATAGGCTGTCTGATGGTGAGAGGGGCAGAAGCTTCACTGCTAGCTCTCACGTCCATCTGTTCTACACTTGACACTTCCATTGGCTGGTCACCAGGGGGCAGAAGAGAGGAGGACGTTCCTTCAGGAAAGCTGGGGCCTTGGTGCCAACATTCATCCCCTGCACCGTTCACAGGACTATAAGGTGAGATCATCATCATCATCATCATCATCATCATCATCATTTTGTACAAATTAGCAATGAGCAGGACATTTAGACTTAGTGTATTAGGAGCGATAAAAGAAATTCAAGCGAGTTAGCACAGACACTAGGATTATGTGGCTTACATCTTACATGTTGAAAGTCACCAGTTTCCTTTTCTACTTCATTACAAGAAAAATATCAAACCCAAAATTTCTCAGTGAACACCTGAAAGCCCAGACAAGGAAAACTTATTACTTCACTGGTGTTCTCGGACTTCCTGGAAACTTGCGCGACGAGGATTTTTGGCTCGACTGAGAACTTCTCCTTAATGTTTTCAAGCACAGACGGAGCTACACACGTGAAGCCCTGAGGAGACCCGAAACAATAGATTAAAATCAGCCCCGTGGCCAACAAGAGCATAATAAAAGACACGACAAAAACAGAAGAGTAGGATTGTGGCGAATAAGCAATGATGATAAAGTAAAGAACATGTCATGCTACGTGATGGAATTGCTTTTACAGTTAAACAGCAATAATAAAGACCAGCTGAAGCCCATTACTCGTTTCTCATAAAAAGGTTTTTTTTCCGTGTCTACAACCCCTTCTTCCAAATATATCACATTCATGACACATTCACTTCTTAAAATTAGTAAAAACAGAACAAAAAAATTGCATGCACACCCTCATATCATTTTTTAAGGTGATAGAGCATTAAGTGAAATGCCAGAAAGACTGCAGTGTTACTGAGCTTCCCATTTACTGAATAAACAGATAATCAATGACTGTTCCGTCCGAAGGAAATAGACCTCAACTGCTTAACAAGTGTATTACTGACTTCTCATTACTACAACTGCATTTGCTGTACTTCTTAAACCCAGAAAAAACAAACACTAATAGGGCAGATCACCAGGAAGACTTGGTTGGCACTTTCACTGAGTGTGGAGTCATCAGGACTGTCTACAGGAGTTTGGGTGGTGAATTTGGAGTCGAACTGGCTTACATCATCTGCTGACTGCTGCAGAACAAGAGAGATGTGTAAAGCTCTAACATCAATAACTACTGGGTCTAAAGGGTAAAAAGAGAAACTCAGCTAGAGACACTATACATACATACTATTCAGACAAGATTGGTTTTACTTGGGGAGGTGGGGTAATGTAGTTTTACCACAGTACGTTTATAATGTTTATGACTGATTCACATGGGATAAGAAATCTATCTAGCAGGGGCATCACTAGAGGTTTATGCATACAGGGGCTGTTCTAGGGGGCCTGGGGCCATGGTCCCCCGGAAGAATTTCTTTTAATGACCCCAAAATGTCTGTTTATCATGAACAGTTAGAGCAGCAACAACCAGAAAATTTATTAAAAATGGCTATTTGGTCAAATTGCCTTTTTTTTTTAACTGGTATAAATCTCAACTGGCTGGCCTTCGACAGAGCTGCCATCTGAAAAGAACATGAAGAAAAAGTCAAGTTTTCATAAATGTTAAAATGATGAGAATGGGTTTTATGTCTTACCTGCACTTCAACTGCATCTCCTGGTCCAGCACCAAGCCTTAATGAAGCATTTCTTTTTAGCAGCTGAGGACAGAGGTTGAGACAGTACTAAGGTTATGTCCAGCTTCAGTCACTCAGTGAGACCAAGTACACTCTTGCAATGTACACCTGCATCATACTGTAGGTGAATCTAATAAATTGTCATAAAATATAAAAAAATCAAAGATCTGGAGGACTGCCAGAAGAATGTTTTTTAAACAGTAAACGTACTAAAATAATAAATACAATTACAGAAATAAAACCCTCTCAATTGCACACAAATGTATTCATAATGTTAATTATTTACTACAATAGCATTATTTACTACAGAAAAGTATGCCTAAGAAGAGTTCATGTGGCTTTGAAGAAACTTGAAAAATGTAACCTTTTTAAGAAGGTCCCGTGCTTCTCGAGTGAGGTAAGGTGGAAGGTTGACTTTGCACTTGAGTATTTTGTCGATGGTCTTTTTCCGATTCTCAGCAGTAAAAGGTGGCTGTCAAAGTAAAATATAGCCATAAAGTTACAACCATGTTTCAATAAATTCCTAAATAAAATATTAAATTCAATAATTCCTTCCATTTGCATAGGCATTGAAACTAGAGCCTGACTGATGTATCAGTTGGGTGATATCAGCCACTATTGACACTATTGATTGAAATGATCAAATTCTATAAAGTGTTGTCTCAGATTAGCTGCGCATTCATTAAAAATTTTAAGGAAATCTTAAAATACATTATAGGTTGACTAACCCAAGTCTAACCCCAGACTAGATTTTCCTTTCAACAAAAAAACTCCATTCAGAATGATGTCTACTACAGGACTAGGCTTAATCTCTATTTGTCCAAAAGTATCCAGACACCCAGTATGAGTGGAATTCAGCTACTTTTAGCTGCACCCACTGCATAGACAGACAATTAATTATGCAAAGAACTACCAATAGAATGGAACACTCTGGAGGTCAGAAGGTCACCATGCCCATTCCAGAGCTAGAGGGGTTTAAAGTCCCCTACACACTATATATTAAGAAGGGGGCCCAACCTCACATATTTTATGTAGTTAAACAGGTTTAAGTAGAACATGGATGTCCAATCTTATCCACAAAGGGTTGTTGTAGCTTCAGAAGCACTGGCACTTTGCAAATAAGACTGCACATCCCTGAAGCAGAATGTGCTTTCGGTCATTCCCATAACGTCATTTGCACATTTTCACGGTAAACAGTAAACAGGTATTTCTTGAAATGAAGAATGTCATTTATGTGACTTAAACTTTCCATCTTATATGTTTTTTTTTTAAATAGTGAGTTTTATGTGTGATGTATATTCAGAGTACAGCTGCACAATGAACTTTATTTTTATTGTTACCATAATGTTTCTGTTGTTTCTGAGATAAACGCTTTATTAAGAGTTGAGATAACAAGATTAAATTACCTCACACATGCAGTGCCAGAATGACATAATTAGATTGGTGGGAATGAAGCTCACTGAGTACTTCCCTGGGCTTGAACCCTGCTCACCTGCTTAAACTTAAACATTCAGCTGAACAGCCAATTACAAAACACATGCACAGCGTTTCTATTCCTCTACTACTACTGTAAAAATACTTCAAGCAAGATGATTATTCTCTATCCCACATCTGTGAGCTAAATGTGCAAAAAAAGCTGACTATTACAAGAAACCTGCAAACTGTAAAGAGTATTTAGGGAATTAAATACATAGTTATTCATTTTATTGCCTTAAATAAAAAATAAAAATATATGTATTTATTTGTTTTGTAGCCTTTATAGAAAAAGCTGTTCAAGAAATGCTGATTGTTTCTCAGTCTTTAAGGGCACCAAAAAAATTTAACATCACATTATATCTATATCGTGCAGCCATACCTCAGAGAATGCCCAATGATTTCTGCAAAATAAAAAAAATAAAAAAATCATGTCCAATTTTTGCAAATTTTTCATTTTTATTTAATTAATCATTATGGTTGTTGTACTTAAATTCAGCAAATGGTAATACTCATATTGTTCACATTAGGATTTGGTTGAGAGTTTTAAAAAATAAATAAATGAGTAAACATCTTGACGCAACCCAATCGGGGTTATATTTCTCTGTAATATCTAGGTAGATACTGCCAAGCAAGCTCCCCCTTAGTTAGAACTTCAGGAGTTGAGCTGAACTGGAGGCTTAACTCATGAGATTAACCACTAACTTAATTAGGAAGTGACAGTGGGATCAACCAATCACTTTTTGATTTCCAGTGAGTGAAACCAAGTTTTTGAGAAAAAAAAAGGTCAATCTAAGCTTTTTGGAAGTCCTACATATTGCACTGACTGTCAGTAAGAATGACAGTCTCTTTGCCAGGGTGTTTTTCCGAAAGAATGCTGCTACATAAAAGGAAACGTATGTGTTAATATGTCTGTTACAAGCTTGAAATGTCTGCATTAATCTAGTTTGGTCAAATAATGTTAATGTTGTAGAGAATCATACCGTACACCAAACCTGCAGGGTAGATGACGTTTGTGTGCATCTAACCATACATGGTGGCGCTACAGTGCAATTCACGATATCCCCCCAATATAGGTGCTAAAATATTCTTAGAGGCTGTAAGTAAAGAATGCCAAAGCCACATGCCAATTAAGCCCTGAGAGGTGGAGCTTAGTCCACAAAAATGGTTACAGATCGAACTAACCTAGAACAATTCTCACAAAACTTCAATGCTTTCTGTCACATGACTTTCAGGAAGTCCACCCAGTTTGGTATTAATTAGTCAATCAAGTGCGCTATAACATGCAATCAAGCTGAAACTTTGTATGCAGCATCTTTTTGGTATTCTATAAAAGGGTTGTTAAGGACAAGTTAATCACTGGACAAATATGGCTGCAATCAGCCAACTGATTTTCAGCAGGGTTTGGACTGGCTTAACACTGGTCAATCACAGTGAAACTGTACATGGTATGTACATGTAGGCATTCTTTAACACCTTATTAAATTTGATGTCAATTGGCCATTAGGGGGCACTATCATTAAAAACAAGTATATGTCCTAAGAAACTAAGTTCTTGTAATGCACTGAAACGGACAATTTTCCAAACACAAGCCTTTTAGAAAATGATTTGTCTCTTTGCAATTGTACAAAGTTTGAAAAAGCCAATTAACAACCTAGTCGCTCAGTTTTCATGATACTGTCTCAAAAGTTATCTAGAATCTATCTGCGGAGCCTGAGAGTAAATAATTATCAAAAAATGTTGACTTTTTTCATATTATAATTGCAGCACATGAATCAATATGTGTGGCCTGGGTTATTCTCACTCATTTATATCAAATATTACCCAAATGCAACCAAACTTGAAATAAATGTAAAGGAAGAGCAGGTATTATTTGGGTGGTGGATCATTCTCAGCACTGCAGTAACACTGATGTGGTGGTGTGTGTTGCGCCGGTCTAAGTGGATCAGACACAGCAGTGCTGCCGGAGTTTTTAAACACCTCAGTGTCCCTGCCTGACTGAGAATAGTCCACCAACCAAAAATATCCAGCCAACAGTGTTCTGTGGGCAGCATTCTGTGACCACTGATTAAGGACTAGAGGATGACCAACACAAACTGTACAGCAACAGATGAGCTATTGCCTCTGACTTTACATCTACAAGGTGGACCAACAAGGTAGGAGTGTCTAATAAAGTGGACAGTGAGTGGACACAGTGTTTAAAAACTCCAGCAGCACTGCTGTGTCTGATCCACTTGTACCAGCACAACACACACTAACACACCACCACCACCACCACCATGTCAGTGTTACTGCAGTGCTGAGAATGATCCACCACCCAAATAGAACCTGCTCTGTGAGGGTCCATGGGGGTCCTGACCACTGAAGAACAGGCTACAAGGAGGCTAACAAAGTATGCAGAGAAACAGATTGACTACAGTCTGTAATTGTAGAAGTACAAAGTGCACCTATATAGTAAGGGGAGCTGATAAAATGGACAACGAGCATAGAAACAAGGAGGTGGTCATAATGTTATGCCTGATCGGTGTATGTAAATATCATCTGAGAAAACCTGCAAAATTGAGTTTATACTGGCCCTAATACGCCTCTAGAATGCTCAATATAGTGTTACTTTACTAAAATGTCATTATTTCACTAAGATCAAATTAAATAAACAATAATAATTTCAAAACACGCATCTCATTGAGACCTAAAACTCTGTAAATATATGTATGTTTCTAAATTCCACAGGAAATTTGATTTAAACCCATCAGTATCACATAACAATGCAGTGTTATTTTTTGTATGGATTACTAGAGGGAGCTTCAGCAGTAACTGCAAATTGTGAATTGGAAACATACAAGGAACCATTAGCTTCACAATGTTTATCTGGTGGCAAAGAAACTTTCTGAATGTTTTGCATTCCACAAAACCTGACAATTTTGGCATTATAAGTCTTTTAAAAAACTCTATTCTTTTCCAGCAAATCAACGTTTAAAAAGTCATTTTTTCATACTCCTCCCTGAATTTTCACCTTGAACCTACAACCACCGGGGATGTCTCAATGTCAATAATCATTTAAAATAATCTTGCCCTTTAAGCATGTCGTGGCTGCAAGATATGAATAATATCAGCTCAGTCTGGTTTATTCTGAAAAACAGGGCTATAAATACACCAGTGATGCTCTGTTTGAGACCAAATTACGCACTTTTCAACAATTTCACTTTATTTTCTGTAGACCTTTTTCTTCTTACTCTTCTTCTGACTGAAACTGCATGAATCTCTTTGGGACTGGGTCCAAGCCATGCATCCTGGGCGGTGATCAAGTACTGAGTTAATGTATCACGCTTCAGGCTATTGGACGTCTTGTGCGCTGATTGGTGGAGTCATACTCAAGGCAGCTCTCCTTCCTTCTCACCAGAGAGAGTTTAACACAACCGTGTTTTAATTCCCAACCTGGATGTATTATCGCTTGGGATCTTGTCCCAGCCAGCTGTGCCTGGTAATCCTCCAATTGGAGGCAGCCAGAGGGCATCTGATCTGATGCCTGAACCACCTCAACTGGCTCCTCTCAATGTGGAGGAGTAGCGGCTCTACTTTGAGCTCCCCCTGAAAGACTGAGCTCTTCACCCTATCAAGTAGAGTGTAGTCCGCCACCTTGCAAAGAAGGTTCATTTCCGCTGCTTGTATTCACAATCTTAGTCTTTCAGTCATTACCCAAAGCTCATGACCATAGGTGAGGGTGGGGATGTAGACTGACTGGTAAACAGAGTGCTCTGACTTATGGCTCAGCATCCTCTTCACCACTACAGTGTGGTACAGTGACTGCATTACTGCTGCCACCTGTCCCAGACTGCAGCCAATCCCACAGTCCCTCTTCCCATCACTTGTGAATAAGTATCTCGGGGGCCTTGGACTCCTCCACCTGGAGGGGGCATGCCATTCTTTTCTGGGTGAGGACCATGGACTCAGACTTGGAGGTGCTGATCCACATACCAACTGTTTCACACTCAGCTGCAAGTAATTCCAATGAGCGCTGGAGACATCCTTGTGATGGAGCCAAAAGGATATTACCTGCAAAAACCAGAGACGCCACCTTCCGGCCAGAGTTTCTCCAGCCCTGTTGAGTACAGCTTGAGCAAAGCCACTCCGACCACTCCTGAGTCGCCAATGCTCCAGAACCTCCACCAAAAGTCTTTTTCCATGGCCTCTCCAAATTCCTCCCATGTTCTAAATTTTGCTTCTGCCATAGCCGCTGCTGGCTTTTTAAAAATCATACTGAATGGGTCCTCTGCCAATCATTCCCAGCACACCCTCACTATTCGAGTCTACCAGGTCTGACCACCAGTCTTTCCTGCCATCTGACCACCAGGTTTACATATTCAGGTTTAGAACAGGCCATTCTTCCCAATCTCCCCCTCCAGGTTTTCCAATCATTATCAACATGAGCATTGAAATCTGAAGCAAGACTGTGAAGTCTGTAGGTGGGACCCTTTCAGAACCCCACCCACTGACTCCAAGAAGGCCACATACTCCAAACCGTTGTTTGGTGCATAACACACACAGTCAGATTTTTTTCTCTCTGCAATTTTAATTTACATTGAGATAACCCTATTTTGCCCGGTGCCTTTCACCCTGTGTACCTCCTGAATAGGAGAAGGACCAACCCCTATAAAGAATTTGGTTCCAGACACTGTGAATGGAGGTGAACCCAACTATATCCAGTTGGTACCTTTCAACCTCAATAATTCTTGCTGCTGCTAATTTCTTTTTTTGTTTGTTTGTTTTTTATTTAACCCAATTATCTCCCCAATTTAGTTGTCGCCAATTCCACCCGCTAGTTAGGACTCGCCCAATCACACAATACTATCAACGCTAGGAGGGCGAAGGCTAACACAGGCTTCCTCTGAGACCTGTGAAACCAGCCACCGCTTCTTTTCGAACTGCCGCTCACGCAACGTCATTGGACAGCTGAACACGCTCGGAGGAAAGCGCCAACCATCAGATCTGTTACGTCAGCTAACAGATGCCTGCGCTAACTAGCATCATGTACTTAACGCGGGGGAAGAAGGAGGGGGCATCCTACCCACCCAGAGAGAGCGAGGCCAACTGTGCTCTTTCGGACTCCTGGCTATGGATGGCTGTTGCATCACCAGGGATCGAACTCGCAATCTCCTGATGATAGGGCCAACGCTTAGACGGTTGCGCCACTTGGGAGCCCGCTGCTAATTTCTTGATTCATACTAAAGCAAAATTCTTAAAACCTCTAAGCACCCCCTCAATCCATATGAAACTGGTCTGAAAACAAATTATCTAGAAAACAAATTATCTGCAAGAACCTGAATCTAAATTATGAACAAATTGTAAACAGTATGGCCACCACTTGCCAATTAAACCCTTCTGGGTGGAGTCTTATGTATTTGAGGAAATCTACCAAATTTCACACCAATTTACACCAATTTAACAAAGGGTGCTATAATGTCCAAAAAAACTGTTTGTCAGCAACTGCTTGTCCAACTGAGCTGAAACTTTGCATGCTGCCTCTTTGGACTACTCGGGTCGCCACTGGCCAATAATTTTTCATCAGACATTTGGAGGGCTTAGCATCGGAAAATCATCACAAAAATGTAATGAACTTCAATCAAACTGCGTGGCTTGGCCTTTTCTGAATTAAGGGGCTATAAATCCAACAGTGTTGTTCTGTTTGTAACCAAAGTCTGTAAATTTGTTCTAATTTATGATCTAAGGAAGCTTGCAAAATTTTGTTTAAATTAGCCTCAATATGCCCCTACAGTGCTCAATTTAGTTTGAATTTACTAAACTGTAATTATTTCTCTCTAAGATTTAAAAAAACAATAATGGTTTCCAACTACACATCTCATTAAAACCTAAAACTTTGCAAATACATGAATGCTCCTAAACAGCACAGTAAATTTAGCAATGTGGCTTACACCCATCTTGGTCACAGAAATAGGCATGGCAATATTTTCTCCAATCAGTAGAGAAGCTTAAGCAGTAACTTGCTGACTTTGGACATACAGTCATAAGCTTTACTATATTTCTTTTGTGGCAAATAACATTTCTGAATGTTTTGCATTTCAGTGAGCCTGACAATTTTGCAAATATAAATCTTTAGAAAATCTCTATTGTTTTTGCCATCAAAGATTGAAAAAAGCTTTTTTCATACTACTCCCTGTAGATTTTTATTGCATCCTCTCTAACCTGGTCTTAAAACAAATGGAGAGGTCTCAGTGTCAATTATTCCAAACATTTTGCATTTTCAGCACAGCATGCATTCATGCCACTCTCAACTGAACTGTTCACAAATGATAGGTAATCACAACAAAGTTTACTTCTTTCATTTCAGGCAGAGATGAATTTGTTGCTTATATAAAATACATTAATCTTGCTCAAATATTAAACTATGCAGCAAAAAATAAAATGTATTGCACTCCCCTTTTCAAGTTCCATGGCCAAATGTTTTTTGTCAAATTTAGAAACAACTAAATTTGTTTAAACATGTTTAGATGGTCACAAATGCCACATGTGCACTGATTGGTCACTCCAACAAGCAAAAGTTGTATATTTATATGCTGCAAATTCATTTTTTTTACCAGAATGAGTTAAATGAGAGATTCATGTAGCAGTTTTCTCTATTCAACACACTAAAATGAAGTAGAGACAGCACACTTACCACACCTGTGCGCATGTCATACATCAGAGCCCCCAAACTCCACCAGTCCACAGTTCGGTTATGACCACTCCTCAGCAGGATCTCTGGGGCCCCCAAACTCCACCAGTCCACAGCTCGGTTATGACCACTCCTCAGCAGGATCTCTGGGGCCCTGAGAGACAGACAGATAGTCAAACTGCATGGAAAGTGGTAAAGCACAAAGCTTTCAGGACATGAACTTGCCTTTGAAGTCAAAGGACTGATTTAGAAGCTTTTCTGAATATAACCTGAACTGGACTTAATTCAATTAAATAAAGCTATATTTTAAAGCCTGTCTGAGCATGAGTGCATTTTCTTGCCAAAATTCATGTTTTTAATATACAGTGACACAGTAAATAATAACCGTACACAAACCAGAGCCTGACCAGCATAAAAAAATAAACAGTTACAATATCAAATGATTTAAACACTCCAGTGATCTATCTTTTGACTTACATGTACTCTATGGTTCCACAGAAGGTGTGGGTCACTGTGCCATCATGGACTGATTCTTTACAGAGTCCAAAATCTGTCAATTTCACATGACCTATTTAGTGGGAAAATGCCAAAAATACTAAAAGACTGCATCAAAAAGGTGCTGACTAGATAGCTTCTTTTCCTCAAGCGTATTCTGGAATGCATGACAAATTTTGCTTGCATATAGTAGCAAAGCTATCATAACCATGAACCAATGAAACTGAATGGCTCTCTAAATGTTGTCTGAGAAATTTTGGGTTTGTTACGAAATTGGGTTTGTTATCCTTGTTGCTGAGCATAATGTTCTCTGGTTTTAGGTCTCTGTAGATAATGCCTTTCTGATGTAGGTGACCCAAGGCCATGGAGATTTCTGCTAGGTAAAAGCTAGCAAGACAAAGAAGTGGAATATGGGATGCCACGGCATAGTTTCAGTCACAAGACATTTTAATGACAAAGAGAAACTCACATGACGCATCACCTTCCCTCGTTAAGACCGTGTTTACTCAACATGAGAAACAGCACACAATACCTTAATCTCTGTCCACACCTGCTATGATAATATCTTACTATTATGGATACATCCTAAATCTCCTTACTTACCACGCTGTGTCTTCCATGAAGATCCCCTCTCTTTCAAGCTGCATGAAAAGCTCCCCACCTGAGAAAGAAAACGAACCTGTTATTGGATCGGTCTTGCAGCAAAGTCATTTAAGAATAACACAATCAACCAAAAAAGCTACAGTAAAAAAAACAACAACAACGATTTAATTCAACAGTGTTTGACTTACAGTGTTTTCACATATAGTTCATTTTAAAAGAACTGAATTGAGTTCTGTTAAAGTGAACCTGGGAGGGAACCAACTGCAAATGACCTCAGTTCTTTTTGTGTTCACAATGTAAGTGAACTCTAAAGAGGACTCAGTTTTCTTTCTGGTCCTTTGGGATCTCAGACCACTTCTTGTTCAGACCACAACTCCATTAGAACTCGGACCCCTTTCACAGCACCGTATGTGCGCGCAGTGTTCGCAAAATGGGCAGCGTTCTCTGATAAATCCGACCTATCAGGTGACGAGAAGAACCACCAGACCCGCCTGCTGCTCTCCTATTGGCCGCGCTGAAACGATTGGCTGAAGTCCATCGCGCAAAATTGGAAAAACGGCCCTGCGGGTCTGCCGCGGTGGGCTCCGTGTTCGGCTGTGCTCCTCACTGAGCTCCACCCGGCGAGTTTTCATTCATTCAGCGTTCAGTGTGAAAGCAGCTGAAAACTGCACTGCGTGCCCAGCTCGAGCCTTTAACACGGTAAAATCACGCGAGCTCTCGCATCTGACCGCTTTAATAAGCCTCCTGTCTGAAAGGCATATGAGGTCTACAATGAACGGGTGTTTCACCTCTTCCAAAATGCTCCTCTCAGCTTTGGTGCGGGCTGTGTCCTTAGCATTACCAACAATCATAGCGTGTTCAAAAAGACCAAAAGGAAACTAGAAAAGGAAAGTTTGTGAATGAACTTTAAGTTGGCTTGACAACGGCAGCTAAAAAAGTTGAACACAGTTGATTGTTTTTGATAACTTAATTGGGTTTATACAGTAATTCCAGGTAGGTGTGATGATGTAGCTACAAAGCCGTGATGGGATTCCAGCTAATTTTTAGGACACCTCTTGGTGGTTGTTAGGTGGTTGTTTAGGTGTTGGTATGCTGTTGCTGTCCCAGGTGGTTGCTAAGGTGTTGCTTGACCATTACTATGGTATCATAGCTGCTAAGGAGTGCTACACTGTTGCTGTGATATCCCAGGTGGTTGCTAAGGTATTACTAGCATACTTGTAAGACGGTGAAATAAGAGTTTGGCTGACTGTGGTGAAATAAAAGGCAGAAATATGAACATTACATATCATTTTTAAAAATGTAAGGAATTTTGACCACACAATTTTGATTCAACTTTTGAAAATAACACACATCTGTGTATGATTTGGCTGGCCTGCCACTCTCATTCACCAGACATGTGAATTTGTAAAATCTCAGTCATGTCTTTGAGTGGCACTGTCAAACTGAGCAATACAAGTATTAATGTGTTTTGGTGGACGTGTTCAAAGTTAAAAGGGGGGGAGAAAATGTTTTATTTCACAATTATGATTTCAAAGCCCCATTAAACTACTTCATCATCAGCTGTGAAAGAAAAGAAACAAGACAGTAGGTCCACCGACACAGTGGCAAACGTAAATAAAGGCTGCTTAAAACTATAAACACGACCATTGCCGAAACTCTCTGAGAAAGAGAAAATGCTTCCCAGACCAGACACAAATTAAACACAGTGAACTAAGCTGACAACAAGAAATGAGGGGGGCAAACAATATGAACTTTCCAAGCCAACTGTCATGGAAAAGTTACAGGAAAGGAATACTTCCTAAGAAACAAACCAAAAGTGTGCCATACATTTTTCAAAACCTTCATTGCAAATAGTTCGCCCTAGACACCTCGCGAACCTGGAAAACCTGTTTTAACACTAAAATTAGATAAGCAAAATAAACACAATCATCAAGACAGTGACTCACAAAGACCCGTACCAATCAACTGACTGACAGCAACGCTGACGAGAGCAAAAACTTTCATTCTGCATAGAGTTTAAAATGGCACAATACCCAGAATTCCTAAAGGGTTGCACACTACACAGCCTAAACTGCATTTTAGACCTGCATTAGGCACTGCAATAGTCATTCTTTACTTTACATTTGTATTTCTACATCGTCAGCTTGCATGTGAGTATATTCCTCAGCACAGCCAGTGACTTCTTTTGTTTTATTTTTTTTGTGTAATCTGATTTTATAGTGCTCATTAGGCAAAGATCTAAAAACAGATTATTTTTTTAAATGGATTCGCATGTACAGAATGGCACTTTAACACTTACAAGTCAAAGCTACCACAGGTCGATATCAAACACTCCAGCCATGACCAAGCACCTTCCTCGCCCTCTCGGTCCACAACCGCTGTGCTATTTCTCGGTTCATGGAAGTTCACACACAGCCGCCATAACCGGCTTCGGTAAAGCCCCACTCACAGTCCACTACAAGCCAAACATATTCCAGCGTCAGCGAAGGAAAACGCCAAACAACTCAACACGTGGGTATTTGCGCACGCGCAAATTTTAACGTAAAGCAAATTGCGACAAAATACAAATTACTGCAATAAATTTTTAACGATACCTGGTGATTTTAATAAAATATACACATTGAAATTCAGAGTAGTCGCTATGCGAATGAAAAGCAAGAAAAATGAAAAGGACGTAACATACTATACTGTGCATACTAACACAGTTACAGTAAGTTGCCACAGGATGGCACTCTATGGCCTTCCTTTCCTGAGTTTGTCGTCGAGCCGTGTTGTGGTCACTGATTTCTTACAGCAGAAGGATTCGCAGCAGTCATATATACTTTATTTTAATTTGTTATTGCTATGATTAATATATATTATAACTGCTACAATATATTGTCTGAAACGATATCTGTTTTTTATGTTAAGTAGATTGTAAACCTTAAGCAATTGACTCTACAGCCTGTTAAATTCGCTCCATTTGAAATACTGCTTTTAACCCAACTATCAACTAGACACTAGAGCAATCAATTAAAAACTTTGTTGCCAAAAATGCACATGAATTGTAACAACAAAAAATGCACGTAGGTAATTTTTGGTAAAACTATGTGCTGAAGTAGCAGCACAGTAGAAAACGCAAACAATTGATAACTTTCATTTATATAAAACAAAAAACAACCATAGACGTTCTACAGAAAAAAATAATCTATAACATCAAAAGAAAGTAGAGTGGACTTATTCTGCCTCAACATCATTCATCTACATCATATATCTTTCCTGGCCAGACAGTGTGGGATGGACCATGGTCTGCAGTGACACTCTCCTGTTCTTGTGAAAAGACCGGCTGGTCTTAGGAGTATGTTTGGCTGGTATAAAGAGCTCAAGTATTTTTTATTCCCATCTGCATCAATACAGTGACATACTGAAATATACAAGAGCCAAAAAAGACAGAAATACAATGTGAATATTGTCTTGTTTGGACATTTTGATTGCTGAAGCATCTGAAAAGCAGCTCAGATTTGGCTGTAGCTTTTGTCCAGCTTCTCTCCTTGTCATGCCATGAACAAGAACATGATTGCACATGTCTGTAATAGATTGTCTTGCTTGTTTTTTTTCTTCTTCCTTTCCTTGATTGACTCCTCTCAGGTGCACTCTTCTTCTGGTTTTTGGTTGATTTTTGTTTTTTATTTTAACAGGTATGCCAGAGATATTTTTATACATAGTTGCTCTACAGAGAACACACATCTGCACATTTCAATGCATGATTCTTGTTAATTTGCTGAATTTAACATATTGGCAAAAACAAAAAAAAAACAAAAAAAAAACAACATAAACATAAAATGTGGTCCAAAAAGTTTTTGGCACTTTTACTCTTGACGTCAGTTTTATTTATGTGTTTGAAAACTCAGAGCACCTGAGTTAATACACTATGATGCACTGTCTAAAATTATAATACACCATATGTTCAAAAGTTTGTAGACACCTGCTCATCCAGTATTTCTTCTGAAGTTTGGGGTATTCATAGGGAGTTTGTGCCCTTCAGTACCAGCCTCTACTCCTCTGAGAAGGCTTTACACTAGATGTTAGAACATTGCTGTGAGGATTTGATTGCATTTGGCTACAAGAGCATTAGTAAAATAAGGTATTGATGCAGAGAACAGTTCCTCTGTTGCACAGCTCAATGCTGAGGAACTTTATACCCCTCTACCCATCACTTGGCATTGGGCATGGTGTCCTCTCAGAGCATTGCAGTGCTTTTCTCTGGAGATTATACAAGTTGTATGTGCACAATTGAATGCATGTTAGTAATGGGTAATGGGTACAACAGAAGGAGTGTCTGATAACTTTTGGACATCTGCTGTATAAACAAAGCAATTACAGCCTCTGGCAGTATTTCACAAAGCAGGATTTAAGCTGGGTGGCTTAAGGCAAAAGTGATAACAATTTGTTCTATTATACAGGGCTTGCCTTTTGACTTCTTTGATCAACTGAGAAATACCACCCTTGTTACTAACTGTGTTTCCTTGAACGTAACATGGTGAAAAATTTTTTTTAATCTCAATTCTCAGTGTGCACCTAATAAATCACTTGCCTAAAAAGTTAGGACTGGTTGTACTACTTACCTATCAAAATCATTTGGCCTAGTCCCCACTGTACTGCTGGACAGTTGGAGGAGTGTCAGTTGTGGCCAGAATCAATCTGGCCAGAGCTGGTATGATTTTGCCATGGGTAAGCATGACTGTTTGACTCAGGGGCTGTTTTAGGTTGTCAGCAACACCAGTAGCACCATTAAAGAAACTGTTTGGTCAAACAGACTAATGTTGCTAACATTAAATGCAGGGTGTAGTCAGAAAGTTTTACAATGTAGTGGCCAAGTTAGATACAGTAATTTTAGTTGTGTGGCAAACTAAAAAAATATTGTGTTGATGTTCTGTTATTTATTCATGTGGAGATGATGCACACATTTGAATCAGGTCATTTCAATGCATCTTATTTTTTCAGTGTGCAATGTTAACTTTAAGTAAAACATTTCATGTAGCCAAGCCATAGAGGGGACCGCTCTCAGTAGAGTTTACACCTGAGTTTAATGATAATGAAGCTAGCCAGACAGCATAGAGTAGGGTCAAGTCAAGTCAAAGTTTATTTATGTGGCACTATGTTGTCACAAAGTAGCTTTACAAAATCCCCGTCCAAGCCCCCATGAGCAAGCCAATGGCAGCAGTGGCAAGGAAAAACTGCCTAGGAGCAAGAGGTAGAAATCTTGAAAGGAACCAAGACTCAAAAGGGGAACCCATCCTCCTCTGGTCGACACCGGATAGGAAACAGTGTTAGTATAAGGTAACTTTATGAGAGAATAGTCTTCGGGTTACTGTTGCATTCATTTATACTTAGAACTGGATTCATCTCAGATGGAATCAACCCTGCATCACTAAACTCACATGTTCTTAGCTGTAAAAAATATTTAGCTAAATATAACAAATGATTATAACTTACTAATATTTGGCAGTTAATTCATTCATTCATTGATGATGTCTGAATGTGTCAGCATAATTGGAGTAGCTAAGATAATGGCCCTTAATCATGCTAGGTTGGCACTGGCCACCCCAGCTACCCCTTAACTGTGCCCCTAAATAAATGAACATAAAGCATCACCAGTTAGCATTATGCAAATTGCATAATGCTAATTGGTAGTCACTAGCTTCCATTTTTTGTTACCCATGTTAGCATGTTTGGTTGAGCTGTTCCATTAACACACAACTGCTGTTAACATTAGCTAAATTGTTAAATCATTATTATTATTATTATTATTATTATTATTATTATTTTGTTTGTTTTTATTTTTATGTTAAAATTTTTACAGGCATATTTCTGATATGTATTTATTTTTATTAACTGTTAATGTTATAGAATACAATAGTCTAATGATATAGAATAAAAAATTGTCCTTTTGCACTGCAGTCTGTGGGTGTTAATTTATGTATATATTTATACCATAACGTATATATGTTAAATAAATAATTTGTTTACACATAGACATAATTGTCATACTTATCATACTGTATATTGTATTTTTATTTTTTAATCTATTCTTATTTATTACTTGTATTAGATTTATTTATGGCAGCTGTTTGTATTATATATAATAGCTTCTGAATAAATAAGGAAAATAAATAAAGAGAAAAAATAGCAATAATGGCATCTGGATTTGAACCTGTGTACTTAGCCCAGTTGACTCTGGCTGTCAGAACAGTTGTAGCACGCTTGGCCAGCAAGCATTGGGCCAACATCTCATGGCTTATTTTTGCTAAGCACATCAAATGGTACTACTGATAATACCAACTCCTGTACAGTCTGGTGATTCTATAGAATCATGCTCTTCTATTTATGGGTTGTGAAAGCAGCAACTCACCTGCTTAGATTAATTGCTTATTTTTAACATGGGCTCCTACTGCTGGTTCCCCAGAGCTGTTCCTCACCAGCATTGACATTACCAGCTTGGTTGCGCCACTGATTCCAAAGACAATTATTGCTTATAGGTCAACTATTAGATTGGGATGCAACCTCTGATTACTAGCACCCCTACTTGTGAGATGGTTACTAACTTGGGCTGCTACTGCACCCCCCAGACTACTACCCAGGCTCAATAAATGGCTGCTAATGCTGGCTTCCCTTCTCAAACTGAGCTCCACTGCTCAAACAGTTGCTACTAGTTGGACTGCTTTCATCCACAAATTAGTACCCATTTCAGAGTGGCTCCCCTATAGTTCAGAATTAATATGTTTAGTGTTAAAGAGACATGTTTAATGAAGCTAGCACTGTGTAACAAGCTCCTGTATTCATGTGGCCACAGAGATGCTTTAACCCTGATTTAACTGCTTTCCCTCAGCTCTAGTGTTGGCTGCTACACTTAACTGAGATCTTACTCTCGCACCCTAGTTCAGAGGCTATCTGCTACCCATTAGACCCACCAGCAGCTGTAACAGCTCATTTTTCCAGAAGAAGTAACAACACCTAGTTCATTGGTGCCATTGATTTCTCCAATGCTAAGCTGACATGTTTTCTGTGAAGCTGCATGTATTGGCTGTTGGGTTCACAGTGTCATGTTTAAGAGTGTTAGAACTCTAAAGTGACCAAAAGATGCCTTGTATGCCTTGGTATAGACTAAAGTCTTTCTGGTTTGGATTTATCTTTTCTGACAAACCTCGAGCCAAGAAGTGTCCAGTGGCAGTACCACACATAGGCCTACAAAAAAGAACAAAAAAGACCATCACCACATAGGATGGCCAAGTTATTATCAAAATTGGAGTAAATAGTCCTTGACTATGGAACTTCTATCAGACATTGACCCTTCCATTGCTCTAGAAAGCATAGAGGTGCCAGTGACAACTACATACCTCAGTCTTGCACTTAATTATATTGCTGGCCACTACTTAACCTTGCCTCATTAATAATAATAATAAAAGATAATGAAAATAAAAG